TAATAAAGACAAGCTATGCAAACAAGACATGACAATGAAAGGGTAAAAATTATAAATACCAAGTAAATTGCTATAGGAATTTGGTGAAAAGGAGATTGCCTCCAACTATGAAGATATGATGGGTTTAATATATCTTAATGTTTCCTGTTTTCTTCAAATTTCATTTGTAGTATATGTTCTAGTCATAGCACAGGAATTTTATTTACATAAGAAAAAGGTGTTAAATCCATGGGCATTAAATACATTTGACATTCCAGAAAGATAGGTGCTCATGTGTTCAGGGTCCTCAGCACATCTTGCACCCCGGTCCAGGAAGCATGGTTCTAAAGCTATAAGAGATATTGGCCCAGTGTGGTTTCATTTTCCGTCTTAGGGAAAATGCTTAGAGGTTTTCATACACAAGGGGCATCATCAAAGTCAAGGTCACCTGGGTTAACTGTATAGAATATATGGTATCTGGGAAGGGAGTGAAGAAAAAAAAGAGGTACTGGTAGTGCTCACCTTCCAAGTATTCACTCAGACTAAGATCCTGCCCAACAAGTTACTTGATCATTTGTCTTAATGACTGTATTCCATCACCGCAGAAGTACTTTGACAGGTGGCACATTGTTCTTCAAAGAACTTACCTAGTAAACTTTATGGACCAGTCAGTCATTCACACTCATCAGGTAGGAAAGTAACTTAAGAGGCAGGACTGAGCCTAGTGATGCCCTGCTTTTAAAACTATCCAGTGAAAGAGAATATCTCATTGCACAAAAAGGTTAAATCACTATTTTTTAAAAGATGATGGAGTGTATAAATTATTTATAATTATAATAAATTATAATTTAAAAATTGATATTGGATTTTAAAAAATTATTAAAAGCAATACACATGCACACAATATATGAGACAATACATAACAATTCGTGAGTATATAAACAAAAAATAAAAGCCTCCACCCCATGCTCTATACAACATGAACCACTATTCAGTGTGTATTTTTCTAGATCTTTTTCTTGCACGACAATCATAGACATGTGTATCTTAAATTTTATTTATTTGTTTATTATTTTATGAATTGGTAATACATATAGTTCTACAACTTGGGTTTTTTCACTGAGCAATTTATGGGGACACCTTTTCATGCGCACCTCACATTTTATCTAACTGTGATCCTGTTAAAAGACACTTCGGGTATTTCTAATTTTTTATCCTTCCAAATACTACCTTTTAAAATTTAGTACGTACTTCTAATTCATGGGATGATTAAAAGTATCACTTGAAGTATTTTTAAATGTCAGCATAGGTTTTTTCAACATAGAATAAAGTTTATGATAAATCCATTGCAGTTTGGACATCATTGGAGAGGGATCAATCACAAAAGAAGATTATTATTATTATTATTAAGTGGTTTCACCCATGTGTTCTAAGGATATTGTAGATCTAATTCCATGCACTTGATGAACCAAGTTAACCCCAAAGGGGGCAATGTGGGGGTAAAGAAGAAGGCCGAAAATCAGTATTTTCATTTTAGTCGAAGTAATATGATTAATAGTGTTACATGAGTTTCAGGTGTGCGTTATACTTTGATATCTGTATATACGATAGCATGCTCACCACCAAAAGTCTAGTTTCCATCCCTCACCATATATTGGATTCCCTTTACCCACCCAAGGTCAATATCTTGAATAAAAATAATACCTACTTTTAAATGAGTCTCTAAAAAGGCCATTAAAAATGTCTTCTATCTATACTGAGTCATGTCTCATCAGCTTTCTGAGCAGTTGTCAGTCATTCAGAGTAAGAGGATCTTTGTGAATCATGTTTTCTGTTCACCGTGGCCGTAGAATTATGTGGGGCTGTGAAAAGCTTTGACCTACGCCTGTTCTTTCTTGACGAAGGGACTCATCATCGTCGCTATTGTGTTACACTGTGTGTTCCTACGAGTAAGCTGAGCCACCTCTGGGCCACTGGACCAGAGAGGGTTGGCCCCCAGCAGTGAATAGACTAAACTATAGTCTTTAGTCCAAGAATATGGAACTTGACAACAAATTACTGCTTGTGGTCTACTTCCAGTTTTCAAGTGCAAACATACCGACGTTTATTTTAAATTCGAGCCAGTCAGACATTTAGTAATACACATCAAAGGCGAAGTGAAGGCTTCCCATGTTTATTATTTCAATATGATGTCTGTTCTAATAAAGTGGAAAAATGCGTATGATGGACCATGTAGTAGAAATTCTCTAGCTCCACAGTTTGGCCTTCAAAATATACATATATTTGTAAATTAATCCAAAACACATTGCCGCAACTCCAGTTCCTCCGCAAGCTGATTGTTTTCCGTCCCTTTTTTAATTTTAGAAATGGAGTGGCTGTCTGCCAGGACACTTCCAGATAAACAGTCCACTTCATGTGTAAAAAGGGGCATGGCGTCATGAATGTTCAAAAACCACAGACTGCTATTTAAATAAGTTAGACTTATCATGGTCTTCCCTATTAATTAAAAAAAAAGCCATCTGTGCAAGGTGAATTTTGGTAAGGTCCCAATTTTTTTAATGATTGTGGGTAGAATTTGAAAACGCTTTTCATAGTGAAAGTGCAGCCCAGGGATTCCCAAGATAAAATACAATGTTTATGTAATTTTGTGGTCATTTGACTACATTTCTAATAAAACCCTGGAAAGAATTCTTGTTATTCAATCAGAATTTATAGCCATACTTGAACGGATTGGCTCTCCAGTAACATCACCTTTCTACTCCTCTACTTTCTTAACATCCTAACTCTTGATTCCATCTTAACCTTTTCTGTGTATATGTGTCCCTGCTTCACTTTCTCTCTCTCTCTTGCACACACATTCACTCACACACACACACCACAGCCCACATTTTGTCAGGTCTTGGGCAGATGCATCACAACAGTGAGCAAGACTAAACACACAAAAATGAAAACACGGCGTAGAGAAACAGCACACCGGACGACAGTTCCAATGCAGAGCTCATGTGACAAGTCCTCATTCTACTTCTGCCGTTTGCAGAATTTATTTCCATTGGCCAAATGACCTATAAACCTAGGCTTTCAAAATCTTTGAGGGGCCGGTAGTCACAAGGTGCTCCTCCCTTGCATTTGGCAGGAAAACCCAGGGCAAGAAGGATTGGGAGATTTTTTTTGTTGGTGGTGGTGGTGTCATTTGTGCCCCAACCTGTGTTTTCAGTCAATTAAAATTTGTACCCTAGCCTTTTCCAGTTTGAAGCCACCCCAGCGTCTGTGATGAGCAATCCTGCTTGTTTGTGCAGTCATTCATTATCTCCATTACCAAAAGGAGAACAGAGGACAATTACATTGTTTGGACGAATCAGAGTGTTAGGAGGAGTATTTGTCATGGTGGCAGAGTACAGCACCTGACAGGCCACGATTGATGGCCAGGAATGAGTGTGAGTGGCCAAAGCAGCCTCATAGGATGCAAATTACCGACTGTGGATTCCAATTTATCCTGTTCATTTTTCTTGCCCGTGCTGAAGACCATTAGTGGTTTTTGAAGCAGTGAAGGGGTCATTACTAATGTGGGTAGGCTCGAAGCAGGAGGGGGAAGGAGGGGAAAAGCCTTCTGTAATTACACAGCTTTCAGGAACGGGCTGGAGGCCCTCGCCAAAAAAGTGTCAACACCTCACAATCAGAAAAATTTATTTTCATTTTATGCTTAACCCATATTAACTCAACATTATCATCTTTCTTTGTTAACATTTGCAGAATATTAAAAGCCTGGCTTCTATATTAATACAGATCTAGTTAACCCCTTTTGCCATAGAGGGAATTTTGTTTAACCTACTGGCATTTGGGTTTGCTAATAAGTAATTGCACACATTTTGGATAATGCACGCTATTACGGAAGATGAAATACCTGAAGAATAAAATCTTAGATGATTGGGAAACATTCTCTCTGAAACACTGAAGTGATTAGAATGCTCCGAATGGAATACTCTGTTGTCCCCAATGTCACCCTTTCACAATATTGATGGGAAATATTTATTACCAAAGGCTTTCTCGTTTATGAACCACTTTGACATGCTGGATGAAAGTTTACTTTTCTGTTTAAGAAAACCAGGGAATTTAGAGCAGGGACCTAACAGCCATGTTTTAGAATTATGTACACACCATTACAGTGTCTCAAAGTACATGTATGGTTCTAAAATAACAGTCCTTGGTTTCAGAATGGCAGGAGAAAGTGGTTTGAATGGTTTGCTATAAATGTTGGTGAATTGTGATGAAAAGTAAAGAATTAAAAAATACTAAAACCTATGGCTTTATTCTCTCATTGCCATACTTAAGGGTAAAATGTAAAATTTCTATATGAAACATTGCACATAATTGGCTCCTTTTGATGTGTGGTCATTGTGTGTGACGCATTTAACCCAGAGCAGTAACCAGTGAAAATGAAAGAATCTCCCACTGCCCCTCACAGGAGTGAACAGAAACACTGTCAGTAAAACTCTAGTGTTATCGAATCGGTTGCCATGGCTTCCAAGAATTGTTGTGATTATATATTATCTCACTTTCCAAACTTTGACTGTCAGTAACCTCAGATTAACTGAGAAATAATGATTATATTGAGCCATCTCGCAAAGATAACATAGAGTGAGGGCCTTCCATCGGTTTTCTAGGAAGCAAAGTTAAACGGGCCCGAAACTAGTTCCCTTCGTGTAACTGACGTGACCGTCGATCATCAGAACTCTGACATCATCAGAGGGGTGCTGGCCACCCCTGACCGATGGCAGGAGCTCACCAGCTGAAGCACCTCGTTTTCACTGCTGACCCCCCCGAGTGTGGTGGGAACCGGGGGGCTGCCAGTGCAGGTTTCTGGATCCCTGTCCCACATTCTCCACACCTGATTAAAAAAAAAAAGCGATGAGGAAAATCAAGCCGTAGACTAAAGAAATCACCAACGGTGGTTTCATTCTTAGAAGTAAGTGACTCTTTCTTGACTTCTGATACATCTTTTAAAACGTTTGTTTTTTCATTAGCATCCGTACCCTTCCGAAGAGCAGAAGAAACAGTTAGCGCAAGACACAGGACTTACAATTCTCCAAGTAAACAACTGGTGAGTGACCCGAAAATCAATGTCTTTCTCCCGTGGCTAAAATGAGATTTCTAAATAATTGTTTTCTTTTCTTTGTTTGTTTCTGAAACTGATGAAATTGAGGAGGATAACTTCTGTGTTTCTACCCTGAGGTGGGAAAGTGGTGTGTAGGGAGAGGAAAAGGTAACTAGGTCAATGGTTTTTGAAAGATGGGTCCCTCTTCGTTTCCCCTCTCCCTCTCTTTGCCCCTCCCTTGCTCTTCCTCTCCCCCTCACGTTTCCCACCTCTGATGCTTTACAATTCTCTAATTGAACCACAAATTCGGTTCAGGTCATTCTTGTTGAAAATTGTGTGTGTGTGTGTGTGTGTGTGTGTGTGTGTGTGTGTGTGTGTGTTTGGGGTTATTTCCTGAGCAGCCCTCGTATGGAATTATCAGTGCTGGGAAGGTTTCTTTTGTCTGGGCTTTGAGGGGTGATGTATAGATGCCTGCTCTCTCTCTATATATATGTATGTATATGTGTATATATATATATATATATGTATATATATATATGCTAAGAGAAATGTATTTACCCTAATTTGGTTTTAACACAGGAAAAAAAATTTTTTCCCATTCTGAGCTTTGTGATTTGGCAGATTGCTCCTGTGGAGGTGCATGGACCGTCCCCCTTTGTATGTGGCTTAGAGGGTAACTGAGGAAAAGGAGGGGCATAGGATTAAATAAAATGATCACAGTGGCCAGGAAATGATATAGGAATTACTTATCAAAATACTGGCCCAGGCTTTATCAGCAGCTTAATTTTGTTCAGTACATTCTTGGGGTGATGTTCAGATTAATTGAACTGACAGTTCTCTTTCAAAATTCAGGGAAAGTATTTGCACGGATTTCAGGCCTTATACAAACTTAATTACATGGAACTCCATTTTATCATTCTAATTCCATGTAGCAGAGGTTGTATTTACAAATGAGAAGTCTCTGCCTTTATTCACAGCTTTCCTTAATATATTTATCAAAGCAGGTTCATTTACAAAGTGCTCTATCTGTGGGACACAGGCAGGCAGACATTAACAAAGCTTTTAGGTTTATCAGGCTCGCTGCCTGATGAGCTACCCGAGGGTCAATTGATTTTGTGGTTCTGTGATTCATTTTTTTCTCATTTTTCTAGGATCACAATGAGAGACATGCTTGGAGAATTAGCCAGTTTGTCTGCCTTATCTGTCAGGCAATTTTTTTTTTTCCCAGGGAAGTCAAGCTACTTAAATTGGCCACAGGAACTGCCGTTATCTGACTTTAATGCACCCTATAGTGTGGATAGCATTTCAATTACACCAGTAACCAAAGCTTAGCTGCAGCCCTTTTCATGCCTAGTGCTGTACGGAAAGTGATGTGCCTACCTACAGAAGCAGAAAATTGAGTTGCCTTGCTTCTGTCAGGGTGATTAATGCAGAAATAAACTGCTAACCTGAAAAGAAAGGCAGAAAGAACGGATAGACAATACAGACTTGAATTCACTTTAATTTTCTCCTAAAGATTGGAGCTATGTACATTTAAAGATACCCTTTAGACCAAACACTTGGAATAAAGGCTGTAATCTCCAGACATGGATGTATATGTGATTATACGTTGATAGGAGCCTCGTAGTGTAGATACATATATCTCAACATATATTTTCTCATTTATGTTCCTAGCACAAGCTATCAGTGGTCTAAAACAATAAGAGAAATACATTCTGTGTTACCTATAGGAGACTTACTTGCCCTGCACATTATTTGATAACATGCTGATTACCAAACCGGGCCGCTCTGTATACGATGGTCCTCGATGAAGTTAATGTTGCTTGAGAATCACAATGTTTGTCAATTTAGAACAAGTTGAGGGAGGTTATGGTGGGATTTGGGGGAGAAATGAAGTATTTCTATGTTGATCTTTGACCTTGACTTTTGATCTTGCTCTTTTTGAAAGGGCTGTTCTGTTTCGGCCGTTTCCTGTGCTTTTTTCATATAGCCATTACATTAGAAGAGTGAGAGGCAAAAATCCTGTGTCTAAAAATGAGCATTTCTCACAATTAGACACCTGGCGGGAACCTGGAAAGAGATCCTTGTTTTCTGAATTCCTCTGAGCCCCTAGGCATGTACAGGAGTTCTGTCGGCCTGACAGTTTAGGATTCTTGTTTCTCTGTTATTTGCCGCAGAATGCCAAGGGTTAGGATGTGCCAGTCTGCTGCACGGAGATGCTTTCCATAATATGGCATAAACGTTGACACCTACCTCTCTGCAAAATAATTCCATCTTCCTAATTTTCACACTTGTTTCTGGAAAACCCTCTAATCCTGCCCCAAGGTCCAAATCTTAGTTACCAGCTACGGTAACTTTGATAATAAGGTGTGACTCATAAGCACAGTGCAGTGAATAGCCCTAAAAGACTACCAAGAACTTCACACCGGGACTGAATTTCTGGGGCTTTCAGAAAGAAATTTAAAAGAGAACAGCAGCTGCTTTCGCACATCTTGAAACTGTCCAAAGCCTTGATGAAGTCAGCTTCGAAACAGAGAAAGCCCTTCCAGTGTAATTTCAAAAGGCTTCATAATCGCTGTACTTAAGTGCCAAGTGACGACTAAGAGACATGAGAAGAGTGGACTATGAACTATTTCTCCAAGCCCTGAGAGCTCTCAGCAGAAACGCACAGGCGCCAGGGAGCTGTTCCTCTGCCTCATTCGCTCGCCTCTGCTGGGGAATAAGACCCACTTCCCTGATGAGGCCGGGACTCAGGCTCGGGTGCTGTGAGGCAGGTGCCCAAAGAAGTAGAAGAGTCTGGAGGCACAGAGACCAGAAAATCGTGAAAGACTTCCTGTTGCAGTCCTGCTTCTCTTTTACCTCTTAAACTAGAAAGGCCAAGCGAGGTCGGGCAGCTAAGTGGCACTGTAAAGTAACGTCTATAGTAACAAGCAATAGAACGTGGCTCCGGACACTTGACGAGAGCAATAAGCAATAAAAACAGAGATGTTAAGACCAGCCAGTAATTTTAGAACAAATAAGCAAAAAGGAAGTTCAGGAGATAATTAAGGGAATTACAGAGTGTTTTATCTTAGCAGTCAATGTTAGAAAGTATCTTAATGGGCTTTCCCACTGTATTTACAGTAAGGAGTATGCATAAAAGTGGTCATACACCAAATCAACATGTGATTTCAGGAAAAGAGCAGAGTTGATGACACAAAGCCATTTTTTTCCTATGGGTAGCCTCACAAGTCCATAAATAGTCAGTCTCTAATTAAGACCCTTAAAAAAATGATATCCAGGTCTTCAGTGTAGGCATTTAACTTCTAAAACTAATCACAAGGGTTAAGACCGGCTTTCTATGCTGGTTAGCTGGTGGACAGTCGAATCAGCTGTGAAACAACCAAAGTGCATGTATTAGGAGAGAAGAAAAGCAAGGAAAGGAATGTGTCTCTTCAATCTGAACAACTAACCTCTTCACGATGGAGAAGCAAACCTGGTGTGATGTGGCTGAATCTTGATTAAAACTTGAAGGGTAATAGAGCATGGTAAATAAGCACTTAGACACTAGCACCAGATCCTGTGGTGTTAAAATTCTGGGTCCACCATTCGTCAGATGTTTTACCTTCTCACTTAACTGCTTTAAGCCTTAATGGGGACAGTAATCATATAAAACCTATATATCTATAAGACTTCAAGAAATGCTGCATGCTAACTATTCAGCACAGTGCTGGAACACACAATAGATGCTATTGTTAAAGTAGTTAAAAATAAGTAATTGTAAAAATGAGAGAGAAATATGATTATTTCATACAATAATATCAATAAGGAAGTCATTAAATAGCTTGCAGACTAGAATGGAGATTTTGTTCAAGGGCAAATAGACATTTAAGGGGAATAAAATTCTGGAGGAGACAACTTACTGTGCATGGTTTCTGTATTAAACAAAGATAGACTTTTGTAGTTTCTCAGATGATTTTTTTTTTTGTAGTTCTTTGATGCCAGGGAGGTAAGATTAGGGAGTCCTAGGAGGTAGTTGGTTTCAAAAAGCTGTGGAAGATAGACATTTTGAAGGAAAGTTTGAGGTGTAAATGCTCTGGTATTTCCTCAGGAGGCATGCTTACAGCATTCACTGACAAAAGACTTAAAAATTTTTTTTTTTAATGAGGAAGTTTTTGTTTGAATAATTTGTTTGGATACATTTGTACATCTTTGACAATAGTAATCATTGAAATATGGCAAAGTTTAACTTTGACAATTAAAATCCCTTACACTAAAAGTACTATGAGAAAAATAATGACATTTCCATGTTCTCATGTAACTTTTAAGTTCCTACTTCCAGGTTAATTATAAAACTCATGTCACCGCAGTAATTATATCCTATCTATATGCCAACAAGCGAAATCCACAGGGTGACTTATTGACAGAATACAGGTATACTTGGAATAAAGGACTTACTTTCTTGATAGGCTGTCTCCAGGGCCCCAAATAAAAATGCATGAAACTTAAATTTCAAAGAACTCTCCAGTTGAAGGTAGTTCAGAGACTTCCTTTGTGTAATAGATTAAATGTCCTTGTATGGCCCCTCGAACTAAAGATATTAAATGTCTGCGTCCTGTTTGCTCCACCTTTTCATCAATGGTCTTACAACACTCTCTTTAGGTCTAATAGCTTTTAATAATCAGACCTCCACTTTGTAGAGCTGCCTCACGGAAAGGCAGAGTTTTGTTTTACCAGCTTCAGTTTGGCCACGTTGATGAATTTTTCTAGAATGTATAGGAGCTTGTTCTGTGGGGGCTAAGGCACTGTGCCCGCAGAGTTACCTTGGGAATCAGTTTCTCTTTCGAGCCTTCTTCCCTCCCCGCTTCGGAAGGCTCATTAACTACCCAGGTGACTGGTTTTCTTATGTGGAAACGGAATGATGTGGAGAACAAAAGAATTTGTGTGCGAAATATGCTGTAGGTTAAAAGCACTCTGGAAATAAAAGGGGGTATTGTGAGAAGAACTTCCCGGCCTGACTCAGGTTT